AGCAGTGGGATTGCTGGATCAAATGGTGGTTCTACCTTTAGTTTTTTGAGAAGTTTCCATACTGCTTTTCATAGAAGTAAAGCTAATTTACATTCCTACCAACAACGTATGAGCATTTGTTTTTCTCTTCATCCATGTGAAGATCTGTTGTTTTTAACATTTCAATAATAGCATTGCTCTGATGAATAGTGACTTTGAACATTTTTCCATTTTTTTTATGCCATCAGCAAAACTGTAGCCAGCAGCACTGTATTCTTTGTCCTTGATGCTTTCACATCAAATGATCACCCTACATTCACAATTTCATGAAAATCACATGGACTAAAGGAGAGATATTGAGGAAAAACAAAACAAAATATATGTTCACTACAAGGGCTGCACTGCAGGAAATTTAGGGTAGACTAGGAGAGAAAATCAATGTCCAGTGATTAGGCTTTTGTTTGATCAATAAAAAATAAACTACATTCACCTATGTGGGAATAAAGCTATATGTTGAACTAATCAAGGCTGTAGGGACTATATTCTGCAGACTTCCTAGAAATGTCACTGAGTATCATAAAATAGTAAATGTTAAAGTACAAAGAGAACCCACTCTAATGCCTTTATTATATAGAGAAGAAAAACTGAGATTCAGAGAAAAGAATGACTTTCCCAAGGATACTTACACAAAGTCTTTGGGATGCATATTGAGGAGGGGTGGAGAAGCATGGTGATAACAGTCAGGAAACAAATTTATGGACATGCAGATTAACTTTGCATTTCATGAGGCTCATAAAATGGGGAAAGATTTCTATAAAGTATATTCTTAATGCTTAAAAGTTACAAAACCTCAGGACTGAGTGTTTTTTTTTTTTTAAATTTGGTAGAAATTTTTCTCACTCTGCAAACAGTGAAGGCTTGCTACAGAAAATTTTAAAATTCTGAATATTCAGGCAAGCAAAAATAAAAGAAATCTACCAGCATAGCTTCTAGACTGTGGTTGGCATCATTGTATATATTACTAGGCCCAGTTTTAATTATTACGAATTGTGTATATCTATACATATAGGAAAAGATATATGAGGTATATGAACAGATATATTAGGTATATATATTTTTCCACTGAATAGTGCTTCAGTTATTTTGTTATAATCAAGGATTTAAGAATGCTTTTGTAAGTAACTCTTTATGCAAGTTCTTAATTATCCCTGAAATAATTTATGAAAGTAAAATTTCCACAACAAAGTGATTAAATTATTTAAGAGTTCTGTTTTTATTTTTAAGTAAAATTGAATGTAGATTAAATATTTTAATAACTGTCTTTAAGAATAGGAAAGGAAAAGAAAAGTCAGTCCATTCCATTCCATTTCTTTTTATTCCAAAAGTAACCAGTCATCTCTTTACCAGCAATGGTCTTATGACATTTATGTGTTGCTCAAGGGTAATTAACAGAAATGTTAGTTTTGAAATTAATATTCCATGGAGAATATATTTTATAGCAGTTCTGAAGGATTTTAAGGCAGCTAATGACCTTTTTCATTTGTCAAAATTTATTTATGATTTTTGAAATGTGAAAACATTTAGTAGTACATTCGACCAATAAAACAGTAAAACTGGTATTTAATAGACATCAAATAAGACACTGAAATCTTATAAGTATGGATCCCTCAGATTGTTATTCACTTATTCAAATACGTCTTATAGTTGTTTTAGTTGATAGTTTGCATAAGTTTATTTAAAACAATTACTGAGCATTGAACATTTTTAAAAATTCACTGCCTCGCACATTACTTTATACACAATAGACTTCAATGGTTATTAGAATAACCAAATGAGTGTTATATGTAAATTTTTGGTGCCACAAAAGAAGTAGCACTCAAATATAAATTTTCTCTCAGCAAGGCAACTTTACTTTCTGCAGAAAGGGTACACTTACCATCAGTTTGCCACAAGAACACTGGCAGGACAAAAGAAAGGCAGACATATTTATCCCTTAACTGGACCCTACTGCTGAGCCCTGCTTCCATTGGCTGGAGCTGAGCCTCACAATCTAAACTATAGTGATTGCCTAATAACTCAAAACTTTTCCTAAAAGGGTAAAGGCAAGAGAGAACAAAGGAAAAGAGAAAATTATTTACAAAAGACTTAAAGAAGCAATTAACATTTCCAAATAATAAAGGGGAAATAACTATGGGCTGAGGCCTGCCTGGGCTTGTCCAGACATGTCAGGGTAAATATCTGGGCCATAATATAAGAACTAGAAACACAGAATATACCTATTTCTTTCTTATAACTAACAGTTACTTACGATTATTAAAAAAAGGCTTTAGAGTAAATCAACCTTTGATGAAGCTATTATTCATTCTTAATAAGAAGAAAGCTTTGAAGAGGAACTTCTATTTACTATTATTTTCTGCAATGAGTGAATAAATTGGTGCTTTCCCAATTTTACATTCATGAATTATAAGACCAGGTTAAAATATTATAGATTTAAACTCCATAAATATTTATTATTCTAGTGGTATATAATAAAAGAGGCATTTGACCTGTTCTATATCTGAATTTGCTGCAATTTAGCAGTAAATGGGTCTACGTGCGTACATGTGTGTGTGTGTGTATCTTTGAAACTAATTGTATGTATGTCACTAAATGTGATAGTAACTATAATGTGCTTGGGCATGTGTACTCTTAAGTAGGCTGAATTAACAAAGAGAATTTATTAATACTCATTTCAAACAACCATATTTAACAATATCCTTAAGAATTAAAAACCCCAATCCTGACATTAATTGATTAAGCAAGCATATGTGAATTTGATTTAAAAAACTCAATGTAATAACTAAGCTATCTACTTGTATGTGGATTAATCTACCAGTTTTGGACAGAAAATAACCAAAAAAGAAGCATAGAATCATACCTATTTAAAAATAAAAGCCATTGCCAATAGTTTTATATTTTCTTTTTGAGTGCATTTCAGATAGTCAACTAGTCAACAAAATCCTTCCCTTGGGAATCCATTACATATTAAAATCATGTTTCTAAGGACTGTGATACTATAAAACACATAGTTTTTTTGTATACAAGCCAATACATAGAAAGTGGCCTAACCTATGAGAACATTGTAACAATTCTTACTGGGTAGAAAGTAGGCACAATTCCCTCAAGGAAACTAAAAGCCCCCTTGGGGGCATGTGAATTTATCTGTTGCATTTGAATCCATTTCCAGGTCCAACACATTATGTTCAAAAATCATTTTCAGTGCTAGGCCAATTAGCATTATTCAAAACATATGACTTTTGGGAATCTGAGACCAGAAATAGCTAAAAATGCCAGTAAGCTTTGCCTGGAAAGTGCTCTTATTTCAGAGACCTGGACAACACAGCCCAAAACAGCCAGCTCATACCAATTTTCTCTATATGGCAAAAGCAGGCACATAAAGTTGTGTAATATGCATGCTCTCAATGAAGAGAAATGTTTTATCATTTGTTTTGCCCACAAACCCATGCTGGGTTTACACAGTATGGGCATACTCTTTGGGCAAGGCACAGTATTTGCAGTGCTGGACATGCTGTGTAATTTATCAAGATAGAATATGAATATATAAATGTAATAATACATAGTCAGAAGTCCAAGCTTTAGAGTCAGACTTGGGTTCATATTAGCTTCTGCTACTTGGTAATTATATGACTTTGGAAATGATACTTACCCTCTCTGAATCCTAACTTCCTTACCTGTAAAATAAAGATAGTGATGATTACTTTGTAGTGTTGTAATAATTGGACAGCATACCTATGTCTCTTCGAAATACAATTTTTGTACTATATTAATTTGAATGAATAATGCTACATAGATATTTTTATCTTCAGAAGTCTTTTTCTGGGACTTTGAAATTATGTTCTTGAAAGATAATATTTCGTTCATGTTGGCAATAATTAAATGAGTAAAATATTTACTTTTTAATAATAAAAACGAAAAGGATACAATCTATTCTTTTTCACACAGTCTAAGGTAACTGATGTTAACAGTTTGATTACTGTTAACATTTTGTTTCATACATTTTCTTTTTTTAAAAAGAAGGCTAGCCAGGCATGGTGGCTCAGGCCTGTAATACTAGAAATTTGGGAGGCCAAGGTAGGTAAATTACCTTAGGTCAGGAGTTTGAGACCAGTTTGGCCAACATGGCGAAACTTGGTCTCTACTAAAAATGCAAAAATTAGCCAGGCATGATGGCAAGATCCGATAATCCCAGCTACTCAGGAGGCTGAGGCAGGAGAATCACTTGAACCCAGGGGGCGGGTGTGGGGAGGTCAGAGGTTGCAGTGAGCTGAGATCACACCACTTCACTCCAGCCTGTGTGAAAGAGCAAAACTCCATGTCAAAAAAAAGGCTTTACGTGTATATTATAGTATGACTTTTATTCATCTTTTAAAATAGGATTATTCCCTAATTTCATTTTTCACTCACCAAGGTACTTCAATATTTTTCATATTTATGTACATAAAATATTTTTAATAACTGCACTATATCCTACAGTATGAAACTTATTCAAATATTCCTTAATTGGCAAATAAAGAGTTTTCCTCTGTTATTTCAGCACTATGGCTATAAATAATAATCAGATCATGTTAAATACTTTTTTCATTTTGTCAGAACAAAATCTAATTTACTAAAGCCTGGGGAGAAAACTCTCTTTAATGTTCTTGTGCTGATGGCCGTGATATTAACAACACCATCATTTTCAGAATGACCATGTGCATTAATGATGTTGCTAAATTGCAATTAGTTTTTGGTAGATGAACCCATATACAAGTGGATAGCTTAATGAGCATGTAGAGTTTATTATTCAAACTCACATACACTGCTTTAATCAATTAATGACAGGATTAGGGTTTTTAACTCTTAAGAATATGTTGAATATGCTTGTAATGAGTATTAATGAATGTTCTTTGTTAATTCGGCCTACTTAAAGGTACATATGCACAAGTACATTATAATTATTACATTCAGCAACATACCTACAATCAATGCAAAGGTAGACAAGCCAGTTGTTTCATATTTCTATGTATTATGCATGCTGTAATGTTTGTTTCACATATAACATTTATATATTATGTGTGCCTTAATATTTTTATATATCATGTTTTGCCCTGTAGTTTAAAATTCAGAAAAAATTTTAGGATTAAAAAAATATAATCATCTGACATATGTCTGTTTGACACTTGATGAATATGTAGCTGAGAACAAGAGGAGAGGTGGCTGATTCATGGGGGCAACCTCACTGGAGGGCACAAAATTATCTCTTTTAGTTTCTTTAACCTATTCATCTTTTGTAATTTTACAGACCAAGAAAAATCCTTAGGAATTTTTAAACAACTTTACTGAGGTGTAATTAATACACAACAAACTGCACATATTTAAGGTAAACAATTTGAGAAATTTTTCATGTATATATATGGAAACATTGCTGTTAAAGATAACAAACACATGCGATAAGCATTGTCCCCTAAAGTTTCTTTGTGCACCTTTATAATCCTTTCTCCTTCCAGACCCTCTCTTCTCAGGCAACCACTGATCTATTTCCTTTAGTGGTAGCTTTGCATTTTCTATAATTTTATATAAATGGAATAATACAGTATGTAATTTTTCTAGGTTTTTATACTCTGCATAGTTATTTTGAATTTCATGCAGTTTTGCAAGTACTAGGAGTTAATTGCTTTATTTTGTTAAGTAGTATTCCATTGCATGCACGTATCACAGTTTATTTTCATCTGGTAATAGAAAATAGGCTGTATCTACTTTTTGGCTATTACAAAAAGAGCTGCTGTGATCATTTGTGTACTTATGTTTGTATGAATATGCTTTCAGTGCTGTTAGGTTGGATTGGAATGTCTAGGTTATATGTTGGGTGTATATTTAATTTTTCCAGAAACCATCAAACTAGTTCTACTCAGTTGACACGTTTTACATTCCTACCAGTAGTGTATGAGAGTTCCAGCTGCTCCAAACCCTTACCAACACTTGATACAGTCAGTCTTTTTAATTTCAGTGAATCCAATATGTCTGTGGTGGTATCTCTCTATGGTTTTAATTGTAAATAGTTGTATTGTTTAGGAAATAATGATAAGAAAAAAGTCTGTATATGTTCAGTTCAGACACATTATTTAATTATTTTTCTGAATATTTTTGATCTGTGCTTGGTTGAATCCACAGATATGGAACCCACTGCTACTAAGGGCCAACTGTGTATATACATGAGGTCAATATTGAGCTAATCACCAGATGTCACATATTCATCTTGTTTGAGCTCTCCCTAGGGATATCTCCCAGATACCCCTGAATCCCATGACAGAGAAAACTTCACACCACTTTTCTTAGCCCCTCTACCATACTCTCCAAAGCCTGAAGCTTTATGTATACCCATCAACCACATCAACTCTTTGGCTCAGGAAGTATGAAGAGCCCAGAGTTGAAATAGACACAAAGGAGCTTTCATCAGGTTACAATAGTCCAAATTTTATTGTAGACATAGTCACTGTTTATATGCAGTGAGTTTACTCTGGGAGTTAGGATGAAGGTAAAGATTTTATCAGTTAAATGCAGTAATTTAAAAAGTAATAAAAAAGAAAAATATTACATATATACATATTTATAAAACTGTGTATATATACATATATATGTAACTGTGTATATATATGTCCATATATATGCACAGTTTGTTCATATATAATATACAATATGGTATATATATTCTGAATATATATTTCCATTGGTTCTGTTTATTTTGAGACTTCTTTTTGCTCTTGTTACCCAGGCTGGAGTGCAATGGCACAATCTTGGCTCACTGCAACCTCTGCCTCCTAGAATCAGGCAATTCTCCTGCCTCAGCCTCCTGAGTAGCTGGGATTACAGGCACACGCCACCATGCCCAGCTAATTTTTTGTATTTTTAGTAGAGATGGGGTTTCACCATGTTGACCTGGATGGTCTCAATCTCTTGACCTTGTGATCCACCCGCCTCGGCCTCCCAAAGTGCTGGGATTACAGGCGTGAGCCACCGCACCCAGCCCTATTTTGAGACTTCTTATACAATCCATAAGTGTTTAATTATTTTTATGCGAACAAAAATATTTTAATGTCAAGTTTGAATTATTCATTTCTACTATAAAAACATGATGGATTTTTTTCTATATTAATCTTGGTATCTGTATTAACTTTACTTATTAAGTCTGGTAAAAATTTTAATAGGTTAAATAGGTTTTTTTTTTTTTTTGAGATGAAGTCTCTCTCTGTCACCCAGGCTGGAGTACAGTGGCACAGTCTTGGCTCACTGCAACCTCCGCCTCCCGGGTTCAAGTGATTCTCCTGTCTCAGCCTCCTGACTAGCTGGGATTACAGATGTGTATCATCACACCCAGCCAATTTTTGTATTTTCAGTAGAGACAGGGTTTCATCAGGTTGGCCAGGCTGGTCTTGAACTCCTAACCTCAGGTGATCTCACCTGCCTTGACCTCCTGAAGTGCTGGGATTACAGGCATGAACCACTGCTCCCAGCCAGGTTAAATAGAATTTATGTACCCAATAATGTTGTCTACAGATAAAAGGTTACTGTTTTTCTAATCTGAATGCCTTTTATTTCTTTTTCTTGCTTTATTTTAGTGACTAGAGCCTCCAGCATAATGCTGGAAAGAAATAGCAAGAACAGACATCTTTATCTTATTGCTGTTACTGGGGAAAGCTTCTTGGGAATATAAACTTTGTCCTGTTTGTTCTCTAAATGCCTGGCACTTAGTAGGTGCTAATATTATTTGACACATTTTTGAATGAGCATACCGTAAATGCTATGTAGTGTTTTACATGGATTAATTCATTCAGTCTTCACAACACCACCATGATATGTAAACTAACATTATTTCCATTTAAAACATCAGAGAAATAAGGAATAGGTACTTTAAGACTAGATGAACCATGATACAACACTTTGACATTAGACAGAGTTAGAAACATATGCAAAGGTGTTGTCTCCTCCATTACTTTTTAATAGAGAAGGTTAGTATGTTTCATTTTACTATTATTTTTAAATTGTTACATTCTTTTACTATTATTTTTAAATTATTACATTCAACTGATTAAATCTCTATCTTCATGCTAACTCCCAGAGTAAACTCACTACATGTAAACAGTGATTATGTCTGCAATAAAATTGGACCACTCAGCAAGTATGGTAATCTGATAGTAGCTCCCTTGTGTCTATTTCAGCTCTAGGCTTCTGATACTTTCTGAGCCAGAGTTGATGGGGTTGATGGGGATACATAAAGCTTCAGGCTTTGGCAGAGTATGGTGGAGGGACTAAGAAAAGTAGTGTGAAGTTTGTGAAGTTTTCTGTCATGAGATTGAGGGGTATGTGGAGAATCTAGAGTTGAGGACCAGAAGTTAGGTAACTTAGGGAGAGCTTGAACAAGATGAATATCTGACATCCAGCGATCAGCTCAATCATGACATTATGTAAGTAGTTAAGAGCCCCATAATCCCAAAGCATCCCAGAACTTGAATGGATGAGTGGAGCTTGATGAGTTCTAGGGATCAGAATACACAGAAACTTTCTGTTTGTCTCAACATGAAACTAACATTCTGCCAACTGTGACATCAGGGATATTGACCACTTTGCTTCTGCCACCTACAGGACTTTATGTATTCCCACAACAAACAGACCATTCTTCCAGTGAGCCAACCAAGTGACATCAAGTGGTGCCCAAGAATCAGGGGGAGAATTACAAAGACTTTGAACACTATGACAATTCTGTGTCGACAAAACTGAAATCAGAAGAAAGCAGAATATTTTTCAGGAAAATAAATACAAGTCATCAAAATGTACACAAGAAGTAGGAAATATAAATTACAACAAATAAATAGGAAGGGTGATATAAACCACTGATTAATAATTAGGACTTGATAGATTCAACACTGAGTTTTAGCTTTGGTTTCATTTTGATTTGAAGAATAGTAATTCTAATGGCATTTGAACTAATCCGATAACATATAAAGTGATGGATTGTTTTGCAATCCATTTTCTTGTGAAGGCAGTATTGCTGTAATAACTATAATGATAGTTATGAAATGTTAGACTATTTTTACCTTCAAATGTGGAGCAAAATTCTTGTCAAAATATTAGCAGATGGTTTAGGAATGTATCAAAAAATAAGACACTATTGTAAAGCAGGATTTTTTCTAAGGAAAAGAAGTTTAATATCCAAAAATATATCACTTAATATATTGTATTAACACACCAAATAATTCATCTTAATAAAGAGTAAAATGTATTTGACAAAATTCAACAGCTGTATCTACAATTTCCAGTATAAAGAAGATATCCAAAAGAGCACTAATAAGATATAGAGGATAGAAACTTTAAAAATTAATTTCATATATAGTCAAATATGTTACAGTAGTCACAGAATACATTTCATAGTGGATCTGAGGTGTTTTAATAAAATTAATCACTTTTTATATTTCTTAAATATTTGAAATTCTGAAAAGGTAAATTTTATAAGGAATATGACATGAAGTCAACAGCCTTGTTAAAAAATGAAACTATTTGAATTGTTAGCTGAACTGGTATATCTATTATAAATATCATTTATGCCTTAAAAATTCTTAAACATTCAATAAGTCTAGTGTAAACACTGGAAAAACTAAAATGAAACACTGTCTTTGCTGATGAATTATATTTCTGTAAAATGGCTAAAGCAGAAAAATAAAGTATGTATATATTTGGAAAGACTTATATAATTCATCAGTAGACTAGATAATATATGGAGATAAGAAATAATGGAGACAAGAAATGTAATTAATACCTGTTTTTCTACTCTAGAAATACTTAAAATATAGCAAAACTTATCGTGGAAATAATTAACTATAGCAAATATATACTGAAAACTACTTAGTAATGAGTTCAGGAAAAAGAGACACACGATTTATGTGAGAATTTGTTTTGAAACTCATGATCTTATTAAATGGAAAAGAAAATAATATTCTTAGATGGAAAGACTTCTTATAAATAGGTCAATTGTCCCCAAATTAACATAGATTTAATGCAATTCTGTTTAGAATACCACATAAATATTTCATTTATAAGATGGTCTTAATGCTTGCAAATAACCTGAAGAACAAGAGAATATACTATAAAGTGCCTGCAACCAATTTAGTATGATTGTACTATGTTGAGTAAGCAAATAAATCAGTAGACATAAATATGTCCCAGAAATTTTGAGAAAGGAAATACATGATATAAATATGATAAACAACCAACCATACAATGGATGTGTGAAAAGAAAATATTCCCCAAATCACTAAGGAAAACTCGAGCTGGAAATTGTGTAGGGCAAACCTGCCTCCCATTCTATTAAAAGTCACCCCTTTCTTT